GAGCAGCTCACGCGGGCTGGGGGCCTCGGGCTGTTTGTTGAGCGCCTCTCAGTCAGAGTCAGGTGGAAAACACGGGCCAGGCTAGGTATTTCCCACACGGGGGACTTAATAGAGGGGATTGACCGCACAGATGTTGGAAGGCCCACAGCCAGCACGGGTGTAACAGGCACCAGAAGCTAGACAGCCACAAGGAGCTGGTGCCATATCAGGAGGGAGGTAGTGCCGGGAAGAAAGCCATAGCAGGGCAGGGGGATACAGAGGGACTGGGGGGCCATGGTCCCAGTGCTCAGATCAGAGCAGGCCTCCCAGGGGAGGTGACCGAAATCTGAACACAGGATGGGAAGTAGCTGTGAGGGATCTGAGGGGAAGAGCACATTGGGCAGAGGATTTTGGCCAGTGCAAAGGTCCTGGGGCAGGAGTGCACTTGCTGTGTGTGGAGAGCAGCAGGGAAGCTGGAGTGGACTGAGTGTCTGGAAGAGCAGTAGGAGGTGAGGGGTAGAGGGATCTGTGCAGATCTCGTGGATCCTCGTGAGACTTTGCTTTACCTCTCGGAGCCAGGGCGGGTTCTGAGGATCCCGCAGGACCTCTGCAGGAGAGGGTCTGACTTAGGGGCTCCTGGGTGCCGTCCGGCAGCCATATGGGAATAGATGAGGGCCTGAGGGCAGATGCCGCTGCAGGAATCTGGGTGGGGAGTGTTGGTGGCTCACACTGGGGCGGGGGGAGAGGGGGTGGATAAAGCGGGGCGGGGGGGCCAGTGTTGCAAAGGCCTGCCACCCTTGACACCCTCGCCTTCCCCTCGGCAGGCGCCTGACGGCCTCATCTTCCCAGACCGTGCCACGCTGTACGTGACAGCCATCGAAGACCGGCAGTACAAAGACTACAAGATCCACTGTGAGCTCAGGCCCGAGGGGCTCGTGGTGGGGGTGGGCTTGGCCTGGGCGCCCCTCATGGGCTCACCCCTCCCTGCCTGCCCTCCAGGGTGGGAGAACGTGTACGGCTTCGACATGTCTTGCATCAAAGACGTGGCCATCAAGGAGCCCCTGGTGGACGTGGTGGACCCCAAGCAGCTGGTCACCAATGCCTGCCTCATCAAGGTGAGGGCCTGGTGGGCGTCCCCGGGGTGGGAACCAAAGCAGGCCGGCACCGGGCCCGCGTGCCACCCGTCAGGGCCCAGAGCGTTCGCCTGATGTCTTGGGACCCAAGCTGTCGGCTAGAGGCTCAGAGAAGCCGTGGACGTGTTGTGCAGTTGTCACATTGGCGGATACGTCGAGTGAGGGCTGTGGGGACTGGGTCAGGGTGTAGGCATGGAGAGGGGATGGGCGCCTGGGGCAGGGTGTAGGCATGGAGAGGGGATGGGCACCTGGGGCAGGGTGTAGGCGTGGAGAGG